TTTTGTCATTTTCCACTAGTTTGTTGACGGGAATGAAGGCAGAGTATTTTGGAAATGAACGTTATTTTCAATAATGATGAGTTCATCACATATCAACTCTATGAACAAATTTTGCGTTTTCATTCAATTCGTTTTCAGCAACATAATTGAAATGGCATAAATGAAATCTTGAATTGTACAGTACAATCATTGCAGGTCGAAAAGCGGAAACATGTTCAGTTTGTGGCTCTGTCGAACATGCCTCTACTTCTTGTCCAAATTTCGATATTTCAGCATCTGTTACAGTTGCGCGTGAACGGTCTGCTGTTCAACCAAGTTTTACGCGTCCAATCCGTCTTCATGCTTTCATTAATAGCGCAGATAAAGAGATATGTGAATTATGGAGTATCAATCGTTGTCATCTTTCATGTTGCAGTTATCATCATGTTTGCAATAAATGTTTGGCAAAACATCACCATGGTGGGCCAAAGGGTGAAAACTGTAACCGAGTTGTTCGGAATACTTGACTAGTATTGTAGTTTGCTTTAGTATTATAACTGTGTCTATCCGTTTGAATAAATTGTGATTGAATCGTTTTCCTTCCGTATTTAGAGTTTAAGCTGTGTGCAAGAACACCAGTTAACGTTGTTCAGTTGAAAATAGAGCTAGCTAACCACCCTGACCAGCAAGTTGTTCAGTTTCTTGTGGATGGCTTCTTGTCTGGCTTTGATATCGGTTTATAACTGTGTTCAACGTCTTTCCAGTGTAAAAATAATCGTTCAGCTCGTGATGCACCAAAGGTCGTTGAAGATTTCATAAAGAAGGACTTGAAGCAGGGTTATATGATTGGCCCGTTTGATACCTATCGTATACCACCAATAGGCGTGGCTTACGGTAAGTATAACCGTAAGCCGCGTCTAATCGTGTACCTTAGTGCACACTATAACAATCCATCACATCCGAATATTAATTCATTGATTGACAAAGAGGAATTTTCAGTGTCATACGTTAGGTTAGATGATGCTTTGCAAATTGTGAATAGTCTCGAGGTTAATACATCGATGGTTACGACTGATATAGTTGATGCATTCAAAATGATACCTGTTAAACCGGAACTATGGCGGTACCTTGGTATATGTTGGAATGGGTTTTACTATTTCTATACACGTTTGGTCTTTGGATCTCGTTCAAGTCCGAAGATTTTTGACTTGTTTTCCTCAATAACTTGTTGGATTGCAAAAGAAAATTATGGTATTCGATTTATTTTGCATCTGTTAGATGATTTCATACCGTTCCATCCTCCCGATGAAGCTGATCCCACTATGGTTTCGATGAAGTTGATGTTCAAAAGATTAAATGTACCATTATCGCCTTTGAAAACTGTTGGTCCTACATTCGTTTTAGAATATCTAGGCATTATTATTGACAGTCAGTTGATGTTGGTTAGTCTGCCCGAAGATAAACGGGTCAGAGTTTTGGAGACCGTTTACACTTACTTAAACAAGAAACGATGTACTAAACGAGAATTATTGAGTATCACTGGCTATCTTGGACATGCTTCACGGGTTATTCCAGCAGGTAGAAGTTTCGTATCATATCTGATTGCTTTATCATGCACAGTTGGTCCGTTACATTATTCCGTATCACTTTCAAAAGCGTGCCGCCTTGATCTCTTAATGTGGTTTTATTTCTTGCGATCTTGGAATGGTGTGTCTACCTTTTATGATCCAAAAATTGTTAATTCCTGTGAGATAGAATTATTGACGGACGCAGCTCCTTCAATCGGCTTTGGCGGCTATTGGAAGGACGAATGGTTTGCCTCACCATGACCGAATTTTGTTCCTAAAGGCATGTCCACTGCCTACTATGAACTATTGCCTTTAGTAGTCGCTGCTTCTTTATGGAGTAAAATGTGGCGAGGAAGGAAGATTATGTTTCGTTCTGACAATGAAACTGTCGTAGCAGTCATACAAAATGGCAGATCTAAAGATATGGCCATCATGTCACTAATGAGACGTTTTACTCTTTATGCATGTGAATATCATTTTGTACCGTACGCATAACATATACCGGGACTTGAAAATGAAGCTGCTGATTGTTTATCTCGTTTGAAGTTAGGAAAATGTCGAATGTTAAAACTAGATGCTCGAGCATATTCTCTTCCAATACCGCCACCACAAAACATTTTCTTTCCGTATCAGACGTAATTAATCATCTATTACATAATGCATATGCTCAAAATACTATTATGTCATACGGATCAGGATTTCGTCAGTTTTTGAATTTTGTGACTATGTTCAGAAAACCTATGGTTTCAAATTTGCCTGTTTTGTGTGAACAGTTATTATATGAATTTCTTGCCTTTTGCTACGGTTTTCTGCATCTTAAATCTTACACCATCAAAATGCATATAGCTACTATCAAATATACCTGAGTCAAAAATGGACTGTCGATTTCGGTGTTCGATTATCAACGTGCAGGCGCTAAAATGTATTTATTAATGAGAGCGATTAACGAGTATTGAAACGAGTATTGAAAATACCACTACATGCACGACTTTCAATAACCTTTCCAGTTTTAAAACGTTTAATTCATCTATTATCTACTGGAATGTTTCCTCCTTATTGGGATTTACTGTTGCAAACAGCTATGATTTTAGCCCTGTTTGCCTTTTTGCGCTGCTCTGAATTTTGTACGAATACCAATAGCTTTGATCCGGTGACCAACCTTTCGTTAGAAGATATTACATTTAGTTCTTGTCAGACTCGAGCATATTTGCGTTTAAAAAGTTCTAAAACCGACCCATTCCGTAAAGGGGTTTATAATCCCCTTGTTCGAAACTAGCAAACCTATTTGCCCTGTATCCTTTTTAAGGCGATTTTTAACGGTTCGCAAATTCTCTTTTTCTAATTCTACTGAACCATTTTTTCTTACACCTCGGGCAATTCCACTAACCCGTTCAGTGTTTATCGAGAAAACACATCAACTTCTGCTTAGATTAGGTTTCAATTCGCCTTTGTATAGTGGCCATTCCTTTTGTCTAAGTGCCGCTTCTACAGCAGCGGCGGCTGGTATTCTTCAACATGTGATACAGACATTTGGAGGATGGCTCACTGCATTCTCATTCAGATTGTACGTCGATTTGCCAATTAGTACTATTCAAACAGTGCAGATAGCTCTCACGTAATAAACACTTCTTATTGGGTCTGATGCCCCGCATCAACATGGGCAAACTCCAATAAGAACTCTAATTAATGTATGACGTTATTTTTGTATTTGTATTGTATTTATAGTTTGTCTATTGAGCTTTGCGTGAAGCTACCTGCCCAATAAAGATGAAGATGGAAATACTTCGCTCTTCAACTCATAAAGGTTTAAGAGATAACATGAATTCGGATTTAAAATGGTAAATCAAGTTCATGTTCGATTAAATCACTTGCGCGCCGTTGTTAATCAAATTTTAAGTTTCTTTTTTAGATGGTTACTAGAGAATCTGATTACATCGAATTTCGGTTGTTCTCATTTCGTTTCATTTCCTGGAAAATCTAGCCTACCCACCACCTCCCCATCGCCTCACAATCATTGAGACGAACATCAAACAATCGAACAACCTGCTGAATCCACATCGCCTTTGCGGGAGCAGCAGCGTCACACAGAATCAACATGGCGGTCTGTCAACCTGTTGACTCCAAACCGCCTTTGCGGGAGCAACAGCGTCACACAGCACCACAGCGGGCAAACTCCAATAAGAACTTTAATCAATGTATGTACCAATAAGAACTCAAACTAAGTATTGAGAAAATATCAGCATAAAAATAGTAGAAAAATGGATTCAGAAATCTTGAAATATAAAGTGTGAGAATAACTGGCGCTCGCTACCTTTTCTCAAGATTTGTTTTCAGGATCTCCGATGGAAAATTGCGAAATGTGTTACTTCAAAATTTTGATTGTTCGATTTTTTATAAGATTTTTAGACATAATGATCATGTTTTTAATCTCCAACTGTGCACCGTTTTCTCTATGATATTTTGTTTTGGGTTTTTATTTTCCTTGATGAAATATTGCTAAAATAATTGTACATTTACACTGAACGTCTCTGGAAGTTCTCTCGAGAAACTGACAATTTCGATCTCAGTTGTGAGTATAAGCAACTTTGCTCCTATAGAATAGGAGAAGACTTGCGTGTCTGATGAGTTGAATTTTATCTTTAATTCGGTAGAAAAGATTAGTTTCTAAACTTTTCTTGTTAATATTTGTTATCTTTACATTCTCATTCGATAGAGAATTTTCTGTCTATAAAACCTATTACCTTCTTTCATTATATATTATTTCATTATCTAAAACCATATATAGAGTAAGAGCACGTAAAAAGTATAACTGCGACGGAAGGAACAGGTTGTATTTTCTTTTGTACTTGACGTAATTGATTATTTAAAAATGTTTCTGTTAGCTGTTTATTGTAGGTACTTTAAGTAAAGAAATCGTCTTTATTTAATTGGTTCACATTGAAAAATAATATTTTTTCCTAGCATTCAGTCACTAAGAACAGATGGTCCTAAGATGATGGGATTATTTACGTACCTATTTTTGATCTGTACACCGTATGGTTCCGAGACTTCGTTCTGACTTCAGAAGATAGACGATTTTCTGCTCTACAAAACTCTATATATCGCTTATATCGCGTCGTTGGACTACTCTTTTCCCTGCTTTTCTTAAAAAACTCACGTTGCCAGAAAGTGCTAATTAACTTGTGCGCTAAAACTTTTACAGTTTGGGTGACCAACGAAAAAGCAGCGTAGTCTGGATGATAACCTTCAATTTGCTGAACATTTTTATAGCATCCTCTTTTCTCAGGTACTATATTATTTCTCAAACAATCACACAAAAGTCGAATAGCCATCAAAATTTGGATAGTAAATCACACGTTTTTACGTGTCCTTAACTTTACACTATGTTTTTAGACAATGAAATAATATGTAATGAAAGAAGATGATGGATTTTGTAGAACAGAAAATTCTCTATCGAATAAACCTAGAATAGAGTGTTAGAACCTCAATTAAGTGTCCGAGAATTTTCGTCATTCGATAGAAGAGATCTATTACAAACGTAAGTGCAGAGGTTGAAACTGACAGAGAATATGATTGTGTTTTTAAAAAAGTTGATTGAAAATCTTAACAATATAAATATAAACAATTTAGAAATAAACGGGAACAGGAAATAACGACAGCCATCGATATCAATGTATCTAAGAAAGCAGTAGCCAAATTTTTTCAATTCGATAAAATGACTCACTCGTTACTTTTGGCAATTCTCATAATTTCATTACGTCCGCAATGTTTTTTCTTTTTTTATCTGATAAATCAGTAATAATAACACGTAAGCGAATGATATTTATCGAATAGGTTTTTCTATCCAATCGTAGAGTTTGCTATGTGAATGTCTACATCAGTTCCATAATCGATATCTGTATCAACGTTTGAAATGTATAGTCAATTTACTAACTACTAATATTTTAAAATATATAATTAGAAACAAATCTTCACAAGAATAGTGATGATGACAGTCGCGAATATCTACTTGCCAAAGTAATAATAGTTTAATATTATCGTCAATAATGAGAAATGGGTCTATCTCAACGCTAGAAATAGTTTAAAAAAATCGTCATGGAATCATCACACTAAGGCACTCTCATATTAATTTGAGAAAGACCGGGCGAACAGCTACAACTTGGATCGAATATTGATCAAATAAAAAGTTTATTATCAGAATTAGTGACGTAACAACAACAACCATCATCTGTAAGACACTGTTTAAATAATATTATTTTAATTATGTAAAACAGTACAACATCACTTTGTCGAACTCGAGTTGTGTAAATTTTTTCTCAAAATTTTTTTACCCGAACTATGATGTAAAATCTGACGCGTTAAAATGGAAAAAATTTATTGATGTTAAAAATCGAACGTGATATTTTCTAAATTTCCTTTCGATTTTATTATGAAAAGGTTAGATTTGTTTTTATCCTTTTGTCCTACTTAATGCGAAGGTTAGAGAGATAGAGAGACAGAGAGAGGGTGAAAAGGTAACACAATGAGAATGAATTTAATTGAACGTATATAAATTTAACTCAAGATAAATAAAACACATAGAAGACGTAATCGCACAGCTAATATTAACGACAATGATTGACTGGATCAATAAAGTAAGAGGTGAGAGTTTTATTGACATCTGTTATTATATTATTCATTTTTATTACTATTTTTCTACCTTCAGAAGAATATATATTTAATTTCAGCAATAAAAGCTGAAAATATTCAAGTTTCAATCTATAAGCTTTAAAACTTAGACAGATATATCTTAAAAATAACATGTTGTATAAGAGTGTTAACATCTTGAATAAATGTCTAACCTAACATGTAGTCAAATTTCGGATAGGAGACAAAAGAAAAGATAAATCACGCCTATGTATTCTTGTTAGCATTGTATCATTTACAAACAAAATATTTACAGTCGCAAGAGAGGAAAATTTTTTCTATAAAACGTGAAACAATGTTGAGAACTTCACGTATTTAACAAAACTAATTTTCAACAAAGTAAATTGTCGCATACAGTACAAATACATTTTTCCATCTACATTTTTTTATTCTTTTTTTTTGTTTTTTGAATTTCCATAGAGAGGTTGGAATTGAAATATATGTGTATATGTGTGTAACTAACCGAAGCCTTTCTAAGTAAATGAAATAAAAAAAAAAAAGAGAAAGAAAAAGAAGAAGAAGAAATGGCAGTAGTGGCTACTCGATTTTTGATATAAAAATATACCCCAAGAGAC